AGCTCCAGGGGATCCAACATCTTCTGCCCTCCATGGACACTTACATATATGCAATATGCAGACATACATACAGGAACAATACCCATACAAACAAAAATAAATAAATAATTTTTAAAAAACTTGGAATAGATTTAGCATATGCCCAGCTATACCACTCCTGGGCATACGCCCAAAGTAATTTGCATTTTTCCCCCCGATTTTTGAGACAGGGTTTCTCTGTATAGCTTTGGGGATTGTCCTGGAACTAACTCTTGTAGACCAGGCTGGTCTTGAACTCACAGAGATCTGCCTGCCTCTGCCTCCCCAGTGCTGGGATTAAAGGAGTGCACCACCAACGCCTGGCCATACTTTGTATCTTATTATAGAGATACTTGCACATTCATATTCATGGCTGATCAATTCACAAAAGGCAGGATAGAATCAGCCTAGATATCCTTCAACTTATGAATGGATAATGAAAATATGGTGTATCTACATAATAAAATATTATTCAGCTGTAGAGAAAAATGAAATCATGAAAATTTAATGTAAATGGACAGAACTGGAAAAATTATACTGAATGAGCTCATCTATGTTCAAAAAGAGAAACACTGAAAGAAAGGTCTTTCTCATATGAGGTTCCTTTTGTGTGTGTGTGTGTGTGTGTGTGTGTGTGTGTGTGTGTGTGTGTGTGTGCTTGTAACACTGAATGTGGAGGGGAAGAAAGCAAAAACAGGCTACTGGTGGGGAGCATGTGTGGGGGTGTAGAATATGGATAAAATGAAAGTTGAGAGGAGAATGCTGGGGACTGAAGGGCTCAGGCAGGTGTGGAGTGATAGAGATGGTAAAGAGGAGCCAGAATAGGGATTAAGCAAAATGAAGCACACACGGAGAAGGGTTTGGGCACCTATGATCTTGTAATCCAAGTTATATATATGTGTGTGTGTGTGTGTGTGTGTGTGTGTGTGTGTGTGTGTGCACGCGCGTGCGTGCGTGCATGTGTGTGTGTGTGTGTGTACATCCATATGTATATCTACATAGTCAATACAATAGACTATAATATAAATAGTGAAAGGCGGTAGCTGAACATGTGTGATATGAATGAACAGTGAGGAAATACTGGAAGAGATGTGGGTGAGCTCTGGGAAAGGAGGGTTAGGAACTGTGTTAACTAAAGACAAGCCAAGTAACATTATGAAGCAACAATAGCTTGTAATCTAATTTAAAAGACATTTTCTAGGAGGGAGTGGGGAACAGAGCCTTGCTAGGTAGTCCTTGTTAGCCTGGAGCTCTGTAGATAGATCAGGCTAGCCACAAACTCACAAAGATCTAACCAAGCAGAAGTAGTACACATTAGTGAACAATGTTGCTCCCCAAAAGCCACAAGGGACTAAATTAAAATGTCAGTGTCAGGCACAGATCACCACCATATAAGTTATTGGACAAAGAGGCTTCATCAGCACCCCAAACAATATATGCTATTGCCATTGCTCTGTGTTACCAACCATAACTAGATGGTAAAACCTTACTGTTAAAGACACACACATTTTGGTTGTAGGACACTTAGAAACCAAGCATGAGCTGACCCGGTAACTCCCAGGCTGCTATCTTTCCTAGTGCTGAATGGTAATGTGAAATCTGCTGGGGGAGAAGAGGCATCAAAGATGTTATCCAGAGCTGGACCTTGCTTAACCGACAAGCTACTTTTAGTTGGCTTCTTGGGGAGGAAGAGTAATTTTTCTTTTGGAGTGTGGCCTTGGAATGTTTGCCATATTCCTGCACATAACCCTGAAACACAAAAATAAAACCGAGAGAGAGAGAGACTGGGGTTCAGGCTTCAAGGTGCAAGCTGAAGATCAGAGAAGCAAAGTAGCCGGCCACTAGCTGTTACCTCTACCTCAGACCAAAGGGCTGCCCTGTCCTCAGCGTGGCTGGAGACCTAACTCCCAAGACTGACTTTGCTTCTTCCTTTTACCGGGAGTAAAGGTATGTGATCCCAAGTGCTGAGATCACCTTTGTGTGAGCTGTTTCTCTTTAGGATTGGATCAATTTCATATAGCTCAATGTGGCCTTGAACTAACAGAGATCCATCTGCCTCTGTCTCCTGAGTCCTGGGAGTAAAGGTGTGTACCACCACTGCCTAATTTCTATGGCTAACTAGTGTGGCTGGTTTTGAATCCTGAACCTGTAGGCAAGCTTTATTAAATCATAAATAATATATCAACATATAACCCCATGGACATGTAAACAAGGACTGCACTAATTAAACTCAATGGGCTATAAGTAAACTATTTTAGAAACTGAATCTGTCTTCATACCCTTCTGAATCTACCTTGACCTTAACCCTAGGTACCCTGAAAATACTCCTTTGTTCAGGAGGTAAATAACAGAAAGATTTTACTAGATAGAATGCATATGATGTTTTGAAAGCTGATAGCTGAGGAAATTAAGCTATGTATTGCTGCATAACTGTCCTTCCCTGTGGTAAAAAGTCTTTCATTAATTTCCACTGCACTATACAATGCCCATCGTATTAGATGATAGAACCCAAGTCATTTCTCCTATGGCACAGATGGTTGTGGTCAAGTTGTTTTGGTTTGTTTTTGGGATTTGCTATAATCCAGGCAGAATTTGAAACTATTTATATCTTAGGGTAGCAGTGAACTGACAGCAATCCTCCTACCTCAGTCTTGCAATTTCTGGGATTTCAGGATTTCACCATGACCAACAATATTTTTAATCACTTCAATGGTACCACAACCACTAAACTCCATCTCTTATATGTGATTAGTTTTACCCATAGAAGAAAGACAGACAGTTAGATTTTCTTTCTTTCTTTCTTCCTTCCTTCCTTTCTTTTTTTTTTTTTTTTTTTTTGGTTTTTTTGAGACAGGGTTTCTCTGTGTAGCTTTGGAGCCTGTCCTGGCGGTCGCTCTGGAGGCCAGGCTGGCCTCGAACACACAAGAGATCCGACTGCCTCTGCCTCCCGAGTGTGCCACCAACACCCGACTAACAGATTTTCTATTTTAATGTTCTCTGTCACTCCCCTTTAATTATTGGTATGTACATGTACACATGCACACACATGCACACACATATACACACACATTTAAATGGACAATTTTAACAAAAATATGTATGTTTTATGTGTAACTGCTTTCATTGCAATAAACTGTTTTACTTGGTTTTCTTCCTTTAAGATTTATATTTATATGTCTCTGTGCATGTCTGTGTGTATACCACCTGTGTGCAAGCTCTAGAGGCCAGAAGAGAATGTCAGGTCCACAGGAGCTAGACTTACAGTTGTCAGTGAGCTGCCCAACCTGGCTGTGGGAACGGAATTAGGGTGTTCTACAAAAGCATTTTTGACAGCTGAGACATCTCTTGAGGCCTAAACTTTCCTTTAATTTGGTATTTAATTATTTTCTTTCCAACTTCTACTAGAAAATGAAAAGTGAGCTTCTCTAAAGCTTATCCAGAGCTTTAAAAGATCCAATGTACAATGTACAAATAATCTAAATTCACTTTCAAATAAGAGTATACTGTTTTGGGCTGGAGAGATGGCTCAGAGGTTAAGAGCACTGGCTGCTCTTCCAGAGGTCCTGAGTTCAATTCCCAGCACCCACATGATGGCTCACAACCATCAATAATGAGATCTGGTGCCCTCTTCTGGCCTGCAGGCAGAACACTGTATACATGATAAATAAATAAATCTAAAAAAAAAAAAAAAGAGTATACTGTTTCATACACAATGGAAGTACTTTATCCTCTCCAAGTTGGTCTTTCCTATCCTAATATGCAGATGCTCACTATTTCACTTATCATTGACTAGAATTATCTAGTACACTGCTAATATTCCCTTCAATTTAAGCATGAATACAAATGAGAGGGAATTTTAAAAAGTAAACATTTTCTTTGTAGCACTTAATACTTTCTTGAACATAGCAGAATAAAAAAATCAACATTCAATAAGCATTATCATATCTTTATTCCCATAAAGACCATGGTGAAACAGAAAACCAGGAACAAAAGCTCATTCACAGCAACATGAAAGAACTAGAAATAAAAGATCTCAACAATGAAAACTTCAAATGATAAAGAAACTGAACACTCAAGTCCATGGATTGCCAGAAATAATACTGGAAATACTTTTTTTTTTCCCCTCAAAGAATGTCATCTGGTAAACACTAACTAAATACTCCCACTTTCCATTTCTTCTATTTGGAGAAGTAGCTCAGAGCACACAAACATACAGCACAACCGCCAGCACCTGGTCCCTCCACAGGGCTAACAAACACCAGGTCTAGCAAAATTTTCAAAAATCCGAACTTTGGCCTCAGAAATGGTCAATGAAAAAAAAATCAAATTTAAATTTCTCACCTTCCTCTAAGATTGGGAATTTTGGCCCACTCTCATAGACCGCACAAATCAAATACTCTCTAATCATCATTTTGAAAAGGGCAGAACACACACACACACACACACACACACACACACAGAGAGAGAGAGAGAGAGAGAGAGAGAGAGAGAGAGAGAGATCTGATGGATTTGGGGTTGTAGCCTAAAGCCAAAGCCCTGTCCTGCTCACCTGCAGCACTGAAAAGACTATAATTCAGAATGGTGATGGCAGGAAAAACCTAAAGCAGCCCAGACACACCTGTAAGGGCTGGCGAGCCGCCCACGTCCCCTCACATCAGTCTGGACTCAGCGTCACCAGCCTGCCAGCGCTGCCGTCTGTGAGGAGGCGCAGACCCCGAGAAGCCAGGGGCCTGGGACAAAGCAGCTTCCCTGGGACAGAGCAGGGCAGGACCCGGTGCCTGGCCGCACACCATTCCAGTGCACACCATTCCACTGCACTGGGGACCAGCGAGCCAGGGCACACCCGGGGAGCAGCGCTGCACACCATTCCACTGCACTGGGACCAGCGAGCCAGGGCACACCCGGCTGGCAGCGCCAGCGCCGCAGCCTCTCAGTGTCACAACTCTGCCACTCACGGCTCCAGGAGCCCAGGGCATACTCACCATTTCCTCTTTCAGGTGCATCCAGGTGTTCTTCCTAATAGGCCTAAACCCGGGAGAGACAGGTAGTCTAGACCACAGGCCTCCCCAACAACAACACAGGGCTCAAACATGGCGGCAAGGGCGGGCCCTTCCGAATATCCGAGCTCCTCATTGGGCAGTTCGTGAAGGGCAGTAACTGCGTCCCTGATTGAAAAAGATACGGACAGCCTTGAATTTAAATGCCTCAGTTAATAGCGTTCCCCTTCCCAAACGCAGCTAGAATGGCAGGTTCCATTCTGCTCCAAGTGTTTGGCTTGCTTGTTTGTTTAAAGTTTGGCTAAGCCTATCCCGATCAGGGTTATGGCTTCTCATTTAAGGGGACCATGCTCCGAACTTTTTGGTGCACACACTCTCTTTTTGTGAACTCGGGGCTGCGGCGGGAGTGGGCGGGTGTTGGGGTGGGGGGAGGGTGAGTATTGCTTTGATCACAAGCGGTGCCCAAATTTGCCCCGGACATTCCTGATTCAAGTCCTTAATGGGAAAACCATAGAGTCAGCGTAAAAGGAATCCCCAGGTCTATCCAGGAACAAGGAGGGCCTGCTATGCAAACACAGGAATTTGGAATGAGGTAAGTGTGTTGCAAAACTCTCTCACACCTTACGTTTCAACTTGCGCACGTTGTTTTAATCTCTCTGTTATGTAGCTTTGGCTGTCCAAGAACTAACTAAGTAGACCAGGCTTGTCACGAATTCACAGTGAGCCTTTGCCTCCAGAGTGCCGTGATTTAAAGGCATGGGCCACTATGCACTCCCACTCAACAAATACATTTTCTACGAAGAAAACTAAAGAAATAACCAACGAATACAATTACTCAACTACAGACAAATGAAATTACATAGCAGTAATATTCAACATAGAATTCAAGACATGTAAAGAACAACCCTTGAATTCAGACAGAAAAGTTCCTTGGCCCACAAGTGTAAGCAGAATCACAAGCCTCAGGGTCATACTGATACGGTGGTCCTTCCCTAGTGATGAGACAGACGTCTAAGATCTCACCATGCCTTCTTTTGTTTCCTCTGCCAAGAAACCTTTTCAACACCACCTTAGTATTCGCAAGAGGGACAATATTATCTACACGGCATGAAGTTGTTGTTTTAGGTGAGGTGATCTGAGTCTGTAGGGCAGATTTTGCCTCTTTACAGTGACTTGTACAGAGGCAGAGAGGGAGACATGGGGGATCCTGGATGTGTATCATATATGGACTGAGGCCTGGCTTCTAGACGGAAAAGCGGGGTGGTGGAAAGGGGCAGAAGGGAGGGCTTCTTTGGGTCATTAACATACTATGCATCTCTTCCAAGGTCTCATAATGGGGCTTTTCCAAGATGGCTATGTTGGGTGAATGAAGCTCACATGTATTTACAGCTGCCAGACTCTCAGCTACCTTTCATAGATGCATCCCTCAAACCTCCCGTAGTTTCTACATTTTTATGCCTCAACTCCCCTGTGAGTGCTGTGGTCCCCAAAAGCTTTTGGGGCTGCAGAAGGATACTGATCAGTCATGTTGAATAACTATTTCTTTACTGATGACAGACATACATCACTGCCTAAGAGGGTGCCCAAGATTCACTAGGTTATCTGTTTCAAGAGAAGGCTTTGGATTTTCAGTCCTAGCAGTAGGGTTTCAGCTTATTTTCAGTGTCAGCGAGTGGGGAGGGCAGACATTCTCTTGGATCATGAAAAGAAAACAGAAACAGCTGATTATTATATACCAAGAAGGTGGTGAGAAACAAAGGACATTTTGCAGAAAGTATCTGTTGATGGGATAGATGAAAAAGAAATGTCAGGCAGTAACCATTGAGTACTAACAGTGTTAAAGTGAGGAAGAAGACCAGGGCATAAGGATGCAACGACTGATAGATTTTGATAAACTTAACTAAAGGATTTTCTATAGAGCATATCTTTGCATTATACTTGAGGTGGCTGTGATTGTCCTACACAGTATGTTAGTACATCTTATACAGGACCTAATGGGAAGCCCTATATAAGGCTGGGATTACCATTTGTCTTTTTCAAAGTCTAGTTTTGCTTTGTTTTGTCTTATATCAATCATTTCCATCTTTGGTTATACTTTCCTGCTGGGGTATAACACCATTAGGGGTGGCCAAAAGTAACCATCATTGTTATTATTCCACCAATATTGTTAATCATAGCTTGTTATTATAGCTGCTGCTGTTAAGGCCAATTTAGACTCTAATCCACAACATACTGGGTATTTAGTAGGAGTCCCAAGCTTCTTTAGCATTTTAACAGTAGTTTTGCCTGCTGAGATGAGTCAGGGTCCTTGTTGACCCTGTGGCTTCTCTTGGGAACACTGATGGCATCACCTCTCTTTGTCGATGCTCCACTGTTCATAATGCATGCTGCCTAGACCCGACTTCTGATTCTTGTTTTTTTTCTGATTCTCTGATCTAAAGAACAGGAAACTCATCCAAGTTGTAGAAAATTTTGAGGTGTTCTGTACTCCCATGGAAATTAATAGACCTGGGGATAGGGCCTACAGCATTATTCCTCTGGTCCTTGTCCATACTCGTACAGGTTTACAAGTGTGGATATTGAACACACAAAAGGACAGTTGCTCCAGTATTGATGAAGTCCTGCTTGAAAACTGAGCTGTTGGGGCTACAGAAGTGGTGCAGTGGTTAAGAGCACTTATTCTTCTTGCAGAGGACATGGGTCCAATTTCTGGCGATCAGTTGGTGGCTCACAACCATCCATAACTTGAGTTTCAGGGGCTCTAGAACCCTCTTCTGACTTACACAGGAACCAAGCCTTCACATACTGGGCATACATATATTCAGGCAAAGCATCCATACAAAAACATAAACACATCTAAACATTTCAATTAAAATAGTATTTGGCTTTTTTTTTATAACACTTGGCTAAAGTTTGACACTGAAAGATTATAAAATAAATGAGGCCAGGTGGTGGTATACACAGCTTTAATCCCAGCACTTGGAAGGCAGAGGCAGATGGATTTCTGTGAGCTTGAGGTCAGTCTGGTCTACAAAGTGAGTTTCAGGACAGCCAAGGCTACACAGAGAAGTCCTTTCTCAAAAGAGCAAAAACTAAAGGAACAAAAAATAAATAAAAACAAATTTGATTAAATAGAAATTTGACGCCGGGCGGTGGTGGCACACGCCTTTAATCCCAGCACTCGGGAGGCAGAGGCTAGGGGATCTCTGTGAGTTCGAGACCAGCCTGGTCTACAAGAACTAGTTTGAAAAACAAAAACAAAAACAAAAAAAAAAAAAAAAAAAAAGAAAAGAAAGAAATTTGACATAGTGGACAGCGAACAAATTACTTTGATGAAACATAACATTTGTTTTTAAGCATATTCATTATCTAAGGAACTCTGAAATGGCAGAGCTAAGTTTAATTCTCAGTCTTTACATTTTGGGAATGGCAGAACCTAAAGGACCATTTCTGAGATAAGGGCCTTGTTCATGATAATGAAAGTGTGCACTGCTATAGAATCTATTGTGTTCTGAGAGTAATAAGGGCACTTTAGATTTTATTTTTATAGACTTGGAGTTGAAATGATGATTATCCAAAAGCCATAGTGACTAATGCTTTAACTTATAAAAGAGTGAACTAGCTGGGTGTTGGTGGCACACACCTTTAATCCAAGCACTCGGGAGGCAGAGGCAGGCGGATCTCTGTGAGTTTGAGACCAGCCTGGTCTACAAGAGCTAGTTCCAGGACAGGCTCCAAAACTACAAAGAAAAACCCTGTGGTTTTTTTTAAAGACTTTATTTATTTATTATGTATACAACATTCTGCTTCCATGGATATCTGCACACCAGAAGAGGGCACCAGATCTTATAACGGATGGTTGTGAGCCACCATGTGGTTGCTGGGAATTGAACTCAGGACCCCTGGAAGGACAGTCGGTGCTCTTAACCGCTGAGCCATCTCTCCAGCCCCCAATTTTTTCCTTTTTTATTAATTTATTTTTTACAATCCAATCCCAGTTCCCCCTCCCTTCTCTCCTCCCACTTCCCCCACTCCCGCTGCTTCTCTCCTCCCATCTACTCCACGGAGAGGGTAAGGCCTCTTGTAGGAAGTCTATTCCATAATCTAGTTGGGGCAGAACCAAGCACCTCTCCACCCCCACAACCCTGTGTCTAGGTGGGCTCCACTAAGTCAGTTTGTGCATTAGAGTTAGATCTTGGACCCACTGCCAGTGGCCTCATATATTGTCCCAGTCACACCATTGTCACCTATATTTAGGGAGTCTAGTTCAGTCTTAGGGAAAAGATAATTTTAAATTAAAAGATATTGTATAATTTTTCAATTTTAGGTTAGTTTGTTGATTGTATCATATTTTACTATCATTAGCAATCCTTAATGTAAAGCTTGTCCATTTTTTAAAGATTTATTTATTTATTATGTATACAGTGTTCTGTCTGTCTGTATGCCTGCAGGCCAGAAGAGGGCACCAGATCTCATTACGGATTGTTGTGAGCCACCATGCTGGGAATTGAACTCAGGACCCTTGGAAGAGCAGTCAGTGCTCTTAACCTCCACGCCATCTCTCCAAACCCCATTTGTTTGTTTGTTTGTTTGTTTGTTTTTGGAGACAAGGTTTCTCTGTGGCTTTGGAGGCTGTCCTGGAACTAGCTCTTGTAGACCAGGCTGGTCTCTAACTCACAGAGATCTGCCTGCCTCTGCCTCCCGAGTGCTGGGATTAAAGGCGCACACCACCATCGCCCAACAGCCCCCATTTTTTAAATTTATTTTTTTATTTACATTGGTGTTATACCTGCATGCATGTCTGTGTGAGGGTGTCAGGTCTTGGAGTTACAGACAGTTGTTAACTTCCATGGGGGTGCTGGCAATTGAACCCAGGTCCTCTGGAAGAGCAGTCAGTGCTCTTAACCACTGAGCTGTCTCTTCAGCCCCAAAGCTTGTCCTTTTAAAGATATGATTGTAACCTAAGTAGAAATCCTTGTATGGCAAAGACTTAGAGCCTAACCTAGATATTGGTAAGACTTTAAACATGTGGAACAGACACCACCAGCTTGGTGTTTGAATTACCTTTTTTGTTTATTGGCTTAAATTGGACAGAATCAGAACTTTAAAA